GCTTGGTAGAAGAGGCTTTGACAGTTCCACTTTAAGTTATACATTTTCTTAAAGGCTCTAAAAATTCAAAATATGTCTTAAATGTTTCCAAGATAAATGGATAAATACAAAAAAGATAAAGAAAATTGAGTGTTCATTGGTTTACTTTAACTCATAACTTTAAAGGTTAGACTACAAATTATACATATCCCTGCTGGATTTAAATTAAAAGTAATGATCTAACTTTAATTAAATGTTTCCCCTGAGTGGGAATAATATAATTGTTTAGGAAAGGCCCAGTCAAAGTTCAGACTTCAATCAAACAAGTAATCGTTAAAGGGAGCCAAAGGCCTAAACGACAGCAGACAGCTTTTTAAAGCTGGAGCTCATCTCAAAGATTATCTGAGAAAAATACCAGATGATTTTTTTTATGTAAATCAAAACAGATAAATTTTGTCCTTTTATCCTTTGGAAGACAGTTTCATTATTTCCCATCAGAAAAATACTCCTTGGCTGAATGCAAATAACTAAACTAACCAGTGGTCTGAATTGTTTTGGTTTCAGTTATTCCACACTGACCGAAAATAATATGAATAGCCAAGAATTAATCAAGCTTCACATTTATGAGGATGTGTTGAATTTTGTAGACATTCGTGTTGAAATTGCAAAAGCATAAGATTTAGTCACCAAACAGGTACTAAAGAAAACAAAATATTGTAAGATTTGGCTTGATTCATTTTGATTATTGTCTATATTTTAGTATGATTTAAAGAATCTCTTAAGATACACACAATTTAGGAATCTGCTAAATGCATCCAAGTATGGCTTAAAACAAAATCATCATTCATTGTTATTTTACGACATCTGTAAGAATTTCTACCAAGATAATACAGAAGGTCCATAACCCCACGCTTAAGCATCAGTTTTAAAATGGATGTTCACCAAAGGGCAGCTTCAGTGCTGAAACTTGAGCTGCTGATAAGGCACAGCTTCAAAGAAGGAGAAGAGTCGTGAATGAAGCTGACCATGACCATCAGACATCTGGATATATGAAACCAGTATCACACCCACCAGTACGACCTCTGATGTGACTGGAGCACAATGGTAAGGAGTGTACAGGAGGTCTTTGAGGCCATCATAGAGCAGTTAAGACCCTAGGTATGCTTCCCAACTCAAGAAAGTGTGTTCTACACCTCTAAAGGCTTCTTCTCTGCAGTGCTATTGGATACGGTGGATGTCGTTAAGGTAAGAATAACATTTTATTTGGATTGACACTAAAGAAGGTCTTCAATCCAACAACCAGCTGTTCTGTGTTTTAGGACAAAAACAGCACATTGATGACAACACAATAAACTTCCCTGACAATGATCCCCTATGCAGTGTTAGATACACGCCCGAGTATATCTTGGGGGATGACCTCTTTCACAATGAAACCCTATGGCCGCAAGGGTCTGGACAATGGCATGCCGGGGGGGCAGCTAAACCTTTTCCAGATACATATGTTGTTGAGAATGCTTTGGGAAATACAAGCCACCAGATAGAGATCCTTCATAGGGACCCTTGGATACCAGCATGAGGTGGCATTTACAGGTAGAGATGGTCTCATCCACTATTACGAGGATCAGATTCCCTGTCACAGAAAATCCTGAGGTGGAAGAGGATTACAACAACATCCCTGGTGCATAGACGGAAGAACTATAGGTGGAGGAGAACCTCATGCACACAAGAGAGATAACCGTAGGGGCAAACTGATGAGGGACTATATTAAGGTCTACTATTACAGTGAAGAAAGGGTCCCTTCTAGGGCAAACTATCAGTAGTGAATGGTATTTAAATGATGACTGCTAATATTGATATTCAGAAGCCACATAGTGCAAATAAATTAACCATTGTATTTGTCTCCATGGTGCTAAGAAATTGATTGCTTGTTAGACGATTTGTCCAAAAGAGTTCAACCCAACAAACAATCTTTAGATTTTTTACTGCAAGAACAAACTATAATGCTACATTCTGACCGCTCTCGCTTTGAGCAGGAGAAGCAGCGGGTTTACAGGTGAACTCTATGGCTGACTCGCATCTAGACGCATCAAAAGGTCATGCAGTGCGTCTCAAGCAGCAGGAGCAGCCCATCTTGATGCAACTGAAGCAGCGCCTCATGAGCGTCTGAGCATCAGGGTTGTGTGACGCTCTTCACAAGCAGCAGATGCTGGAGTTGGAAAAACTTAACTTTTGCTGCTCAATGTGCCTGATCAACCAATCAGAGAAGCTCATCTGGGAGCTGGCAGGGAGACAGACACAGCACTGGTGGTGCAAACTGCTATGATCACTCCACTGAAACAGTTTATTAATGCCTAAATTAACTTCAAATGTCAAAACCTGACGGAAAAATATGTTCGATTTTATTGTTCTGGTGTAGTTTGTAGCACATACCTAAAAAAACGCTAACATCTACTTATACGCTAACATCTACTACTACCAGTTGCCACGAACGGTATTGGAAAACACTCAAAGAGGCAAGCCGGCCTGAGGCAGCGGCCTCTGGGGATTCCCAGTGACAGTGCGCCACCGGTATATCTGCGCACCACCGACAGCAAAATAATATTTTAAGGCAGGATCGTAATCTTGATGACCTGACTGCAAAAATTATGTTTTGAGGTCGATTTTCTATTATTAAAACTACTTTTTACCCACTGATCTCACTCTCTGCAATTGAACGCAAGAGAAGCATAAGCATCAGATGCATCTGGAGACACTTTACTGGACGCGCTTCAGACCTTAATGTGTACAAGCTTAAAAGATGAAGCAGAAACTAGTTTTTTGCTGCTCAAAGCGCATCCGGTGTGAAAATAGCATAAGTCAAGGGGGGATATCTAACATTACATGTATGTGAATTCTTAACCTCAAATATTGTGATTGCATCTTTTCCTGTAGTTTAGAGACAAAATGCTTTTGTTTTTGCAGTCCATGTAACCATTTTTCTATTGTAAGCTGAATTTCAAAAAATGCTGAATGCTTTGAAGCAAGAACTTATTACATAATGTAGCATTTTATTATTTACACACATTCTTTGTCATCTTTGTTGTACCCATTTTAAATGTTTTATTTCTTTCCAATAGCAGAAAATAACAATTCAAATGATCGTTTTAATAAAGTGATCCTGAGTGGACCTTGCTAATGTGAGATTTCATGCAACTATGAAAATAAATCTAAAATACATGAATAGTCATGTAACATGTTTATTAAACTAAAAACTTTTCAAAGTAAAATTTTAGAAGCAAACACTATGAGGGCTGAAAAGTGTGTAATGCCGAGTGGTTGCCATTAAGATGGACGTCATTGGAACTGGACTGACTACAGGTGTGGATTTCAGTGGTCCCATGTTCCTAATTATAAGGACACATCCGTCTGAGACAGAGAGGCACTGAAGGAACTGTGTGGCTGCAGGCATTTAACAGGAGGTCCCTGACCTTAGCTGTTTGAGAGGATGTGTGAGGCTGCTGTGGCTGCAGGCTAACTGAGGGGGGCACTTCACTGGTCCAGGTTGCTTCATTAGAGATCCTCTGAAGTTTCAGTTGGCTAAGAAACTGGATGTACTCTGGGAACTGGCTGTTCCATTGCTGCTTCCTGCAACCACAATACTGTTTACAACATTTTGATGGGTTTGGCTGCCAATGCATTATCAAGGTGGTGCTGGAGTTGGCGTCACACTTGGAACAGGGGGTGCTAGTTAGGAGAAGGCTGCTGTAACTGCTGCAGGTCACAGTTTATGGCCTGGGGCAGGTTCTGGAAAGTTCTGCACTGTGTGGCCAGTGACACGTCCAGTATCCAATTTGGAACCTCTCCTACATCCATTGTTGGTGCTTCATCATTTCCACAGCTCCCTGGTCACTCTGCTTTCCTCTCAGTTTTCCTCTCTGGGTCGTACTGCTCTCATTGAAGGTCATTAGTGTCAACAACAGGTGCGTCTGCAGGTGGAGGGGTAGGGTCTCTGGCCGAGAAAGATAAAGACCGAGACTGCAGCTGTCAAAGGGAAGAGCCCTGCCAGCTCGTGTGATCAGTCTCTGCTGAATAGTCAGGAACAAATAGGCAAAAGCTATGAGTTAACCTTTTATATAAGGAGGTAGCTTGGATTTGAATCTGATTCCTTTGGCATCTAAGCTTTTCATTATTAATTCTTAACCATTCTTAAATTCTAAGCCAATTGTTTTTGTTTCTTTGAGCATTTTTGAAAAATTTGCAGACTAGATAAACACACCACATAAGGAACCCCCAATCAATGTAAGAATAAGAACAAGAGCTTAGGAATAGAATATGTAAGAGTGAATTAACCTGTAGATAATGAACCAGGAATTTGAAAAATTTGGACATATATGTAACAAAATCTCAAACTTTGCTAACAATGTAGTTTGTGACATCATTGTGGGAACCGAGAGCAGCCAAAATATTACATGACATTAATTTTACACAAGCATCCAGTTCTTTCAAATACTTCTTCATTTTCTGTTAAAAAAGCCATTGTGTCAAAGAATAGAAACAGAATAGAATGCCCTATAAGGGAAGTGGGAGGGGCTTCTACCAGAAAAGCAGACGAGCTAATTTACAGCTCCTATAAGAAAGGGACAGAAGACGAAACCAGCACACATACATAAAATTAAGCCCATTTTTTGTTAGGTAGTGCAGTTCAGCTATGCATGAAATAATTACGAATATGGGGATTGCCATGTATAAAATTAATGTCAAAGACAGGGAAGAAAGGAGATCCTCAAGCCTTGATTAAAGCATAAAGCATAGAGACCAAGAATCTTATTAAAATCCTCCACAGCTCTTATTCAAGTTTATTGTGACCTGATGTACAGTAACTGGTAAAATATTTAAATACATTTAAATGAAGCACTAAAACATAAAAAATGAATGAAATAAACTTTTTAATTTATAGACTTATTACACAGACAACATACGAAGAGCCTGAACTAAAGAAGCCAAGCCAGGCACCAATATTAGAGATCAACTTTTGTTCATACCTCACAGGTTTGCTTGTCAGGGACACTCGCAATGAGTCTAGACAGGCAAAGAGACGTTCGTCCATCACTCCTGACTTCAGCTCACTGAGGAATTCCTGAGGAGATATCTGATGGCTTTTCTTCACACTCCCCTGAAAAAAAAGAAGAAAAAAAAACATATATAAAAAAATATAATGAATATTCCAATTAAACACGTGCAAAAATGATGTTTGATGACACAAAAGGGTCCTTGATTGGTGATAAAAGACACAATGTAGGTAGAACTGCAGAAAACTGTATTGGCTACCTTACCTATGACTTTAAAACCTTTACTTATTTTACTATTCTTAATTTTGTATGCATAGACATCTATAAGAATGTTTGTTACAGCTATAAATGCCAATCCATTTATAATGAATTTACAACATGGAGGAAAATGAAAGCCTAAAACACGGTTTTGATCTGCAGATAACATTAGTTATAGGTTATTCAGCATAAATTATGTTTTAGTTTTATAACAACCATAAATCATTCAAGTTTGACTTTTTAAAATGTCAAAACAGCCTTTTGAAGGAAAAATAAATAAATAAGAAAGAAACTATATCTAGAAACAAGAGCTGGTTTTAATTTAGAAAAGGGAAGCTACTTCAAAACCACTCCAAATATCAGCTGGTGCAGTTTAAAGGATATTTACTTGGCATGGCTTCACAGGAGCATGCTCCGACCTGCCCCACAGTGGGAGCGCTGGGTAACTTCCACTGCAAATAAGAAGTTTCTCAGTGTGTCTTCCCTGTGTTGAAGTTTGCAAGACACAGTGGCAGTAGAAAGAAAAGAACGAATAATGGATGAGCTGCAACACGGCTCCTTTAGCCACTCAAGCTTAACCCCAGGGCAAAATGTCTTTGGGATTACCTTGTGTTGTGAATATAGAGACTATAATGTAAATTAAAGGCTTATAAGATATTAAATTCCAATCCGAAATAAGGTTTTTATGAGTGCTGCAGTGGTCTTCTAACTTATATTTTCTTTTCAAAAACAAGCATTAGGACTTGCAAATTTCAGATGTGCCAACATTTTTTTCCCCCTCAGTGAGGGAAAAGTAAGGACGAGTACCAGCTTTCTTCATGCTGCCCTTGCAAAAACAACATTGTTATTCAGAGCTTTTCTTACACTGACCATGTGAAAAATCCAGCCAGATTTCTTTTGATTTTTTTTTTTTTTGTTGCTTTTATCCTTGAGCTTTGTGAAAAAAAAAATGCTTTCTTCTTAACAGAAAAAAAAGGTAAGCCGCAGTCTATAGGTGAAAAAAACCTTTTCATAAATTAAATGGCTGACCTCAGATTTGCTTAAAAAAAATAAATAAATGCATTTATTGAAATTATAAATCAGACCGTGTTGACATACAATTGTTTGGTGGAAAAAAAAAAGAAAAAAAAAAATATATCCTTGATGGGATATGCGAAGTTTATTATTATTATTTATTTTTATCTTTTTAATCTCTGCACAAATGTGAAGCCAATTTTGATTTCACCTTTTTAATTCTGCTAAAAGGTACAAGAAAAATCCTTCTGCAACAAAGAACGGTCGACACTCTTCATGGTTTTCTTTATGGAACATTTGCTGTTTAGTTGCATGTGTCTTCTCCATTGAACTGCATAGTTTGGGAACCATGACAGTAAAAGAATGACACCTCTTAGGTGTTCCTGTGTCTAATTTCACCCCATTGGACAGAAAAATAACATTGTTTAGTTATATGTGTATTTATATATATATATATATATATAAAAAAACACACACATACATATACATACATACACATATACTGTAAAACAAGTCATCACGTTAGTATTTGTAAACAGCATTACGATAATATTTTAATACATTATAACTTGTTAATATATTGTAACAAAAACAAGTAATAAAGTGAAAGTGTTTTCCAATTGAGGCTAGTCTTTATATTAGTTTGTTTTTAAAGTTGTAAGGAAGTCATATTTAAATGGCAAATCATTCTGGCTTAAACATGTATATAAATGTACTCTTTATCAGACTATATTGTCCCAAAATATTGAACATTTCTATTAGAAAAAAAAATCCTGTCTTAAAATCTTTTGGGTTTTTTTTGTTATTTTATGCAGGCCAGTTAGGTATACGTCAGCTTGTACACCTAAATTCGGCCAATCATATCTCAACAGTCATCTGTTAATAAAATTGTTTCGGTCATAGCATCTTGATTCATATGTCGCAGATAATATACGCAACGGTTAAAATAAAAAAGAAGAATCATTATTAACTTCCCCATTGAGTTCCGTCCCAGTGTTCACGGGGATGGACATCTGTGTCTTCAGCAGGCGTAGAGCTAACAGAACTGGCAGCGTTGGGAGGCAAGGGTTCAAACATGTACGGCTGTAAGCCTTCTACACCAAACCAAGCTTCTACTGCCCTGGCATCCTCTTCCACAACATCTTTGTCACCTTTAAATTCCTCCTCTAAATAAAAAATGGATGACAGAGGAGACTCATCCATGACCACCCACACAAAACTCTCCGCTGTCCATAGCGTTACTAGACAGTGTTGTTTCTAAGTCAGCAATTTAGTGCTACTTGGTCCCAATGTAATTTCCCATTGGGAACCTACTAGCACTAAGTTGCTAACTGGTTAGCAAGATGCTTACACACGCCACAACCAAACTTGCTTGCGAACCTTCGGCCACAGCAATCCTGCACCCTTGATAAAAGACCAATCACATTCCCTTTATTCAGTCGTGTAAAGTTGGGCACCACTCGGGAGAATTCAGAATGCAAAGCTTGGAACAGCCACTTCCCGTACGACTTTAAAGGTTTAAAAAAGATCTTATTTTTGGTAACTAGGGGACAGAAATGTTAGTCCTCCAATCTACACCAAACATGACAATATAAGATCTTAAACCAGGTTGAAAAACAAGATTAATGGGGTAGAGAACTAAAGTGCCCTTGAAATGTATTTCTACTATTTCCCAATGATTTTTGTCTGTTCTTAAAAAAAAAAATATTTTGTACCGAAGCAAATTGTTTGCACGGTGGTCTCTAAATAAACACTCTATCAAGCTCCATCTATAGAGCAATTACTGGCTTTGAAGGATTCGTTCAAGTTATGTAAACCTCTTTCTATTCTTTGTCTAGAAGAGTTTGAAAATAGCAGGAAAAGAATTGCAAACATGGAAAACACTAGTAAAGTGATATTTCCTGCACAGCAAGGGCACTCCAGACCAATCGAACCCGGGGTCACCTCAAAGCAGAGTGGTTATTTCAAGTCAACCACTGCTACAGACACATAGTCCAAGGTCAACAATTATTTTCAGAAACAGCGACATGGTAAGTGTTTCTTAAAAGGGCCATCAAACAATATTATACACCAGTGCCCAATAAAAATTTGTTTGGTTGTTTTTTCTTTTTTTTTTTTGACATCTGAGTTTCTGTTGCTGCCATACAGGATAAAAATAATAATATTGATGTTTCAGGTTTTCATGTTAAAAAAAATAGGGGAAAAAAATGAGTTTCAAATAAAAATAAAATTACAATAAAATCCATTCCTAATAATATAAAATCATAGCAATTTGGTATTACGTGTATAAATTAATTTATTTATCTAAATTTAGAAATCAATACTGAGGCTATGCTCAATTAGGTTTTTTTTTTTTATTCATCCAAGTGTCAACCAAAAACATTTATTGTAGAGTATCATATTACTAGCTAGGAAAGTAAAAAAATCTAACAGGTGCAGGACCTAGCAGGGTTCTCAGCAGCGAATTTTTTAGCCTCTATGCTCAAATTCGTTAGCCTGACGTAGTCCTACTCAATTCTAGTCAGAATATGAGTCTGATACTGCTCCATAGAGCTGTGATTATGGGGCGTGTTTCGAACGAACCAGGAAAAAAAATGTCTCTGCACTCAATTGGCTAGACCTACAACCAATAAGAGCAACGGAGTGCGTGACGTATGTTAAGCGACGCATAGTTGTTGTCAACAAAAATCAAAGCGTGCAGTTGCACGCCTATAATAAGAAGATGAGACTTGATCGCGTTTCTCTGTTCCTCTTTTAAAATTAATTTGCTGTCGATATCTTCTAGAACAGACCTAATAGCAGAATCTACTCACCTCAACTCTCCAGCCATTGTTGTTGTCACCCAAGCGCGATTTGGTGACGTGGTTGATTACGTTACTGTTGGTCATCTGTCCATCATCGTATAAAGCCCGCCCTGACAATTTTGATTGGCCCGCCAGATATTGTGCCAGCATACTCACGCTACTATCGAGCAATGCCAGACCGAACTTCCCGACCTCAAACGTTGTGGGCGGGACTAAGTTCGGAATGGCACCCAGGCTACAAATTAGTCGCCTTTAATCTGAAATTCAGGCCTCTACACTAATTTTTATGAGCCCATCATCCCTTCTCAGCAGCACATTTCAGTACAAAGGTTGGTTACACTAAATGTTTTCAATGAAATTAGGCCAATAAAATACCTTGTTATAAGTGAAAAAACACATTTCCTTCTTATTTCTACATATATGTGAGAAAAGAGTGAAAACATGAACGCTGTGCGCTTCAAACTCTGCTATCGACTCAAGCTTAGCAGGTGAACACATGTGCTCCCGTCCAGAAAGCAGACAGAGACTGAGCTTTGAAAGCAGGGGTGAAGTGACCAAACAGGATCTTCAAACAGACGTTCTGTCGAGCCCAATGACCGGGGGTCAAAGTGGGTTTTTTTTCTGCCCAGTACAACACAGCATCGATATGCTGGTGGATCAGAGGAACATTTTGGGGTGCCTCTAACATAGAGAAGAGATCGAAAGAAAAAGGAGTAGGCATAATTAGCAGACAGAACAAATAAAAACAATGTAGGTGAAGCATAGATTTTTTTAAAGTGTGACCTGGTAATTCCAATAGGTAGGTAGTAGTTATGTAACTACATGAACTACATGATTACGTCCATTTATGCATTGAAGCATATCTCCCAACAATTTGATTTAATTTGACTCCTAAAGTGCTTCACAGCAGTTTCTGCTGGCTCACGCATTTCTAGGCTGAAAACGGGGAAGTTTAAGTTTTTTGGTACACGAAATGAGTAAGAATAAATCTATGACTAATGTTTTTTATGATCTTTTCTTTCAATTAGTTATCAACCCAACCTCTTTCTGACTGGAAATGTCATTAAAAAAATAAATATTAAATTATAAATTCAACCACCAAAAAAAAAGAAACTCACCGTTTTTGAGGCAGCAAAAACATACTGGAGGACCATTTCTCGCTTCATATTCAGGTCTTTTTCCCTCAAAGGTGCTTTTTTATCCTCATTCAAGTTCATGTCCTCCTGTGAAATAAAAAAAGGGAAAAATGGTTTTCTGAAAAAACAAAAACAATATAATACAATATTTGCTTTACTCTGTTTTTTTGTTTCTTTGGTTAGAACCACATAAACCAGAAAGAGCTTCCTTCCTTATATAAAGCTGCATCTTGAGGAGTCAAATAGTAAAAACTGGATTAATTTAAATGGGAAGCAGAGCATAATTATTCTGTTTGGTCACATAAAATGTATGCAGATTAGAATATGACCAGTCCTGACGGGACATTTTATCTCTGACTAAAAATACTCTGCAATCTGAGGGAAGTTGGGATGATATCAGCCATTCAAAGGTGTTAAATAGGCTCTTACCATTTTGACCCTTAATAGCAATGCCGGATCCCAATTAGAGTAACTAAAACAGTCTAAACAATCCTTCATACCAGTTAATGATATTACTGTAAAACTTCATCTTAAGCTCTAATTGGGTTTCCCATCATTTCTCCGCTTCACCACAGCTTCTCTAATTGACAACATCCTGAATAACTAGAAAATATTATGCAGATTCTAAAGCTACTTTTAATCATATTAATTAATGTCCTCAATGTGTTTGTTCCCTTTTCCCATATGTTGGTCCTTTTAGAGAAGATATTCTACTACACACTACTGTAAATATATCAGAATGACCTTTTGCTAACATTTATATTGGAAAACATTTCGTGCAATGTATCACACAAAATATGTACGTTCTGTATGCTGCCAGGGAAATGCCGTCGACTTTGCTTATTTCTTTATCCCTGGCTCTCATTTACTGTATTCTAAGTTGTTATTTTAATGAGACTCAGTGGGGCAGATGTAAGCCATTAAATCAGCAGTCACTGGGCCCCGATTGGTAGTTTAAAAAAAAACAAAAGAGCAAAACAAAAACAAAAGGCGACCATAAACCTGTCGCAGCCTTTGATTCAAGCTTTAACCAATAAAAGAATAAAAATAGTCCCATTTTGATTCACTTATTGTACTTAGATGCAATCAGCTGAATCTCTAAGTTAGCTGATGTTCCATGGAGAACAGACAGAATTAAAGCTGAGCTAAAATTATCAGCTAACTTGTCAGCTTCCACCACAGAGCTTGGATGTTTTGTTTTTTTTTTTTTCCTCTAGATGAAGACGTCATCATATAAGCTTCCCTTCCACTAAGGAGAGGTGTCACCCGTTTCTTTATAGACATTTACGGTTCACTAAGCCATGGCGAGCTGCTGCTGCTTCATGACAAACAACTTTCACATAAAGAACGTGTTTAAAACATTTATAACAAATCCTATTTCTACCAGTTAGACACTAGATTTTACGGAATACCCTTAAATCAAAAAGTTAACAAAAAAAAAACAAAAAAAACATACCATCATTTTTTCAAACAAAGCCAGGATCTCTTTTTCCGAAGTGATCTTCGAAGAGAGCTCCTCAAAATGATGGAGGGTGGAGGCTGAAGCGGTGGAGCAGTCGTTGGAGTTCTGTTTAGAGAGCGTTAAAGGCGGACGTTCCTTTTTGCTGCCAGGAATCCGAATACTTGCAAATCTGTCCAGCTTTGGTAAAGAGAGAGAAATAGCTTCTTTAGATGCAAGGATGTTTTCGTTTCAGCTCACCACCCTTCAAGCCTATTTAGTATCAAGTGTGTTAAGAAGGTGAATCGTTTGCAGAAAGATGAGGTAAACCAAGCATGAGATGGATTATAAACAACAGAAGGTTATTACACAAAGAATGCAGATAATAAACAGGTAGGTAAACAGTAGTAATTTGTGCATGAATTGTATAAGAGAAGAGGTCTTTGCCTGAGAGATGAACTGTAAACAATGCTCTACTTCTTAATGAAAGGCTGATGAGGAATTATTTGTTAGTGAGGAAAGCAGCCATCTTCCTCTAGATATGAGAGCGGATCCATAACAATAACTCTTAACTTCTAGTTAAAAAATGCAGTGTGGTTAGCTCTATATAGTATGAGGTTAGAATGTTCATGGACTGACAGGAAATACTCTGCTTTCTCATATCTTACCACATCATCTGTGAGGTTTCTAAAGGCCAAGTTCTACGATGAGAAGCAGAAAAAAAAGGAAATCAGAAAATAAATCAACTGCATCCCAACACTGCCCCTCTAACAAACAAAAAAAAAAAGATTCCCAATAGCTCAAACTGATTAAACAACATCTGAAATCTCTCTTTAAGGATCAGTTTGATGCCAGTTGACAGCATTTATCTAACATTTAATAAAGAAGTAAAACAAAGACTAATCCCATAGTGTGTGCACACTCCAATCTGAGTTGAGAATTTCTTGTTGCTATGCAAGCGGCTGTGTGGCGCTGAAGAGTGAAGCCGAGAGGGAGATAAAGCAAATAACACAAAATGACAACCACTGGTTCCCCAAAGCTTTAGGAAGATAACAAATGGTAATCCAAACCCAGAGACAAATAGGAAATCCAACACTTTGAAGAATGAAGGCCAGAGTTTTCGTCGTCACGAGCAACCTGGCAGCTGCTAGTAATACAACTAATCCTGGCTACAGTCTTTATCTAAAATGCTATTCTAAAAACCATAAGAAAAGTTGATAGCAAACAGAGGGTTATAATTATTAGGAGTTAAAGTTTAAATTACTCCATATTCGCTGATATTCATAATTATCTGCAAGTACAATAAGCATAAGTCAAAGTTTCTGAACAGAAAGGAAGTACTTCAGCGCTTTGTCTGCCTGTTATAGTTGAACATCAGTCAAATCTCTCCCTAACAAGGCTGTATTTGGAAAACACCTTCATCTGTTCGCTTTCTTCATCGCCTCCAGCACCAGTCAAATGTGTCCATTTTTTCTTCTCAAGTAAATTTGATCTTATGTTTATGTTCTTAATCATTTCATCCTCAATGTTTTACCGTTTTAATGGGATATCTTTTTATTGTATTTCTTAAGTGCAGCTCTTGATTGTTTATAAACTGCTTTATATGGAAAAGTGACACAGACGTTCATTTTTTATGATCTTGCATTTTATGCTAATCTGAAGGTTTCAGCCAAGCTGCCTTTGCACTAAGCAGCTATTCTAATAAAAAAAAAAAAAACGTAATAAATCATACAAAGGATATAAAATGATAGATTTTCAGAGAACTGCTTTCATAACTGACTCTAAAAGCTCGGGTCGAGCTCAAGAATAAAATGAAGACAAAGGCGTTTTAGTCCGCATTTAGTCAGGGGTCTCACTAATCCAATCATAGAAAATTGCTGTGAAATACACAAAAACCCTATTTATTTGCAGTGTTTATAGAAAATATTCACAGCACTGCACTTTTTCCACGTTTAGTGATGTTACAGCCTTGTTTCAAATTATATTGATCTCTTTCTTAAGCAACTCTGAGCCTAATTTCTTACAATTAGAAACTTTTTTTTTTTTTTTTTTACATTCAGCTAAGTATTTACAGCCTTTGCGTAACGTTTTGCTTCTTGACCTTTGACAGCAGTTACAGCCTAAGGTCATTATAAATACAGGGTTTATACAGGAATGAATAACTCCAATTAAATCCTTTTTTAATGCTCTTAGAAATAATTTTAATGCCACCAACAGGTACCCGTCGACAGCCCATATTCTCTAGCTTTTTCTCCGACTCAAGCTTCTTTTCTGAACATACAGCTTTGCGGTCAACCGGAAGCAGTTCCACGCAAATATATTGTGATATAATATGTCTGACAAAAATGTTTTTATAAAATTTTTTTTAATAAAGCATTTTAATTGCCACAATAAACACATTTAATGAATTTTAATGCCAATTAAGGCCTTAATTTAAACAATAATAATTTGATGACTTCTAATGATTTTTAATGACCCTCAGAAACCCTGAAATATGATGCCAGAATTGTAGGAAATTTATTCTCAATTTTCTTAAGCTCAATCTCCACCATTGGATGAGAGACGTCTATGCGCAGTGATTTTTAGACGATCCCTCTAGGGATTCAAGTCAGGACCAAAAAACTCACAAAGCAGTTCTGAATCCACTGCTTTCAGATCCTGGCTGTGTGCTTCTGAAAAAAAAAATGAACCACTGCTCCAGTCAGATGTCAAAAGATCCCAACAGCATGATGCTGCCACCACCATGCTCCATTGTAGGGATGGTAGCAGCCTGGTTTCCTCCAAACATGATGCCTGCTATTCAAAGCAAAAAGTTGTATAATTCTCTCATCAGACTAGGAAATTTTCTATATCCTCTTATTACGATCAACCATATAGACCTAATGGGAGGATTTCAGCGGAGAAGATTGTCCTTCTGTTAGGTTCTTCTATCTGCTAGGTTCTAAAGGAACTTTGTAGCTCTGGCCAACTGATAACGGTGATCTTGGTTCTGTTTAGACGGCCCAGCAGCCATAGGAATATCCCAGACGACTTTTATAGTGAATTATGGAAGACACTTTAACACTTAAGCTGTTTAATTATGAGTTTAATGTTGCAACATTTTATCAGCCATAAGCAATGTCTTATTTATTGCCACTTTAACAAGTGTTGTTGTTAAAGTGTTAACAACAACACTTTAACAGATGGTTCCAGCAAAACCACTATAAAAAGACCAAAACTATTCCCTAACATTCCATGAAATTTTCTGATCTAATATTCCATTACCTATTAAATTTTTTGAATGCTACCTTGGTCTGAGTTCAAAACAAGGTTGGCATATGTGTGATTAAATAAATAACTGCCCTGTCCACTTGTCTGTCATCTGTAAACAACAAAAACCAAACCTGGCATAGTTAGTAACCTAAGTGTGTCAGTATGTCTAGCCACCAACAACTCCCTGGTGGAGGAAAGCAGACAGAGCCTTGATTGGTTTGTAGTAGCAGGAAATACATGGATTAGGGTTGACTAAACCCTGGGCTAATTTTAACATTTGAGTCCCTACATCCAACCACTAAGTCAAAAAAACAAGCAAGGTCACATTTGAAAAGGGAAAATGGAGACAATTGCAGGCTTAACTTTCCAGATGGATTTCTATGGATGTCAGTCAACATGTAAGATATCTAAAAAGAGTTAAGCTTTTATCCAGTGGACTGTTTGTTCCTGTGTTATGTGTACAAATGGTTGGCGTTCAATTTAACTAAATGTTAAAGATAAACCAAAAACAATTGAAGCTTTTCTCATTTTCAGGCCAAAAAAAAAAGATTCTGTTTGATAAGAATTTGAAATAAAGCTAAAACTAACATTACCTTTGCATAAGCAGTTCTAAGGAAGATGATTATAAAATAAATAAAAGTTAATTAATTTTTAAATATTATTTCAGTTTAATATGGGAAAAAATGTCGTAATTCTGACTTTTTTTCTCAGAATTTTGACTTTTTTTTCCTCAGAATTTTGACTTTTTTTCTCAGAATTTTGGATCTTAATGTTGATGGGCACTATGAAGGAAGAGATGTGGGAGCACTCAGATTCACTGACAAAGATGTGAGTTGTTTTGGAGGGCCAGTAACACATTGGTGGAAAATGATGGATGGGTCCCCGATGATGCTATTTCATTAATGGAAGAGCAGAAGGTGATTAAAACAAGAGAGCTAGTTTAGTCTCTAAAACACACATGGCTACGGCTTGGTGCTAACATTCTTGTTAGTTGTCAGAATTCAGTCAGAATTCTGAGATTAAAGAAAGAATTCTGAGATTAAAAAAGCATTCTGAGATAAAAGTCAGAATTCTGAGAAAAATGTCAGAATTTTGATATTGAAGAAATAATTCTGAGATTAAAGTCAGAATTCTGACATTAAAGTAAGAATTCTGACTTTCTCCCATATCAAACTGAAATATTTAAAAAGCAGTAAACGTCTTTTATTTTTTAAGTGCCCCTAATCTCTTTTCGTAGCAGTTTTAATCACCTTTATTTATGTTTTGTTTTGTTTTTTTGTCACTAGCAAAAACCAGATGGAGAGGAAGTCTGTTTTGTTCTGGATGTAAACCCTGTTTCCACTATAACCTGCAGAGGTAGAACCTGAAACGGTCCAGTCTTTATATACTTACAAACTTTGGTTTTCGGTCTCCTTCATCCATCCCAGACGTGCTGCTATGGAAACCTTTCTTCTTGTGAGGTTTGCTGTCTCTCCCTGTGGAGGATTCAAACCTTTGGTTGTAACTTTCCATTTTAACTGAACAGCGTCTCTTCAGTCACTGGATGTCTGATTCCTGATAGATAACAAGCGATATTTTAACGATATGTTAGTTAAAAAAAGCAGATAAGTCAAAACGTTAATGTATTATAACAATGTTCCTGCTATCGGCACTGGCTACGTAGCAGCGAGGCTACATCCATTATTTTACACAGGCTTAAGTCAGAGCTAATCCAATTTGCGAATTGTCACGTAACCCTATGAGATTAAAGTTCCGAGAAAGAGATGCAAAAACAACAACAGTGCGACGCAGATCGATTATATTTGCTCGTGAATAAAACGCTGCGAAGTCATTAAAAACGGTGTTTTGGGCGCTTCCTGGAAAATATTACAGATCAGCAGCCGATCAGTTTTTGACAGACCCGCGCTGTAATACGTCAGATCCGTATGTTCAACCCAGCCAATAGGATTCGGTTATTTTCATGCGAGGACTCTGATAGGTGGAGCGGCTGCTCTTTAGAAAAAGAAAGAATCCCATTGGCTGCGGCGAGTTATCTAACTAACCAAGTCATTCTAGAGTAGTTAAATAAGCCTGGATTATGTTGCCTTTGTAATTGAGAGTGTTTTTCTTTTTAGATATTTGTGAATTATATTAACGTACACTCTCTTCTGAAGTGTTTTACTCTTTGAGGGCATTTTTGTCTGTTTCCAGTCCAGCAATTAAAAATGAAAAACAATGAATTTAAATTTAGATGGGGAGGATCTTTCCCATCTGTGTCTCCTTGATGAGGTGACTGGAAAACAAATTAAACCAGTTAATAGCTAAGATAGCAGCAAACACAGGAAAGTAATTTTCTGGGATGAAATAGAACTTTGTGAACAATTATTGAAAACATGTTGAAAAACACATACAGCACAATAAATACATAATCTTAACAACAGTTCAACATTAATGTAGCATGAGCAGAAAAAAACAGTGTATCACTCAGGTGGTTTTGATGCTGTACCATTGGGGTTATGGTTGCAGTTCAAAAAGTTCATGAATAAGCTGTGAGAAATCTGCATCAACTCTGAAACAGATCCTTGACATGGGATCATGAAATCCCATTGAATTCCTCAGATCCCTTCACCATCCTGTGCAGGACCGTCTTCTTTTGCAGATGGCAGCTGGAGTCCCAACCTGAGATGCAGCACGTTGATAACTCAGAGCCAAAGCTTTGTAATACACTGGGAATTTGTGAGGATGCTGCTAATGATTGTTTCAGCTTCCCTAGAAAGTGCAGAAAAGCATTTTGAAGAAAAAAATAAATAGAAAATCCTCTAAGCCTCGGATACACAGTAAAACCTACAAAACATGTTGCAGGTTATGCATCCTTGAAATATAGTTTAACATCAGCCTTAAAAAGATTTAAGAAGTAGTTGATTTGTCAAATTATTTGCCTTGTGAAAAATATGCATTTATTTTGCTTCAATAACACTGTGGCATTTAGCTTTAGAGATTAATAATTTTGAACGATAAAACCCTCAAAATATGGCCTGAATCTGATTTCATTCTGATTTAATAAGCCACGATAGCAAGCAGAAAAGTCTTTTATGACACACACACTTTTGACCAAGGCCTTACAGTAGTGAATATCTGCAATGTCTTGCTCCGAGTGTTAAAGGATTTAAATTGCTTCAAGCAACACAGCACTAGGTGTGTTCCAACATCTCTGGAAGTCCATAATGCTAAAATCTATCCTCACCAGTCTCTTAACACACTTTTTCACCAATAAAAGCTTTGTTCTGTTTAGTCAAAACACCTAACCAATAAAAAAATCAATTTTTATTACATTTCACGAGAGGGCCAGTTGCAGAAACTGTTCCTGTGTGTGAGGTATCCTTCGTGTATATCCGTACTTCTCTACTGGAGATAACTCTTTAGTTAAATTATAAGAGACCTAAAAAGGCTGAGGGTAAAATCAACCTACTGATAAGATAAATATGTAATAATGGAAAATATGGGTATGTGGTAAATGTTGCAAATATAGCGACATTTATTTTAAATATGCATTATGCTTGCTGCTAATCTAACAATGAACGCACTGTTGAATAAATATAGGTCCAAAGAATCTGCCAAAATTCAAGGTTTAAGCTGTGTGTCTACCTATGAAATGTACTTCAAATATGTCAAAGTCTTTGACACTTCCACTGGTTATCATGTGTGCTTACTCTCACATATTACTTTTTCATTCTGCTAAAAGGTTATATGCTCAAACACATCCTTGCCCAGAAATAAATTAAAAGTGTGTGTTCAAGCTCCTGATTTTCAGGAAAGGAATTTAAGAGGTAGATTCCGAACATTAATATCATTCTGTTGTACTAGGATAAGCTCTAAGTCTAATTCAAATGAATAAAACCTCTAGCCATGACATTAGATTTGATTATCCTTTAGTTAAGCTTTTCAAAACCTTGTTATCTTCAAAGACTTCTGAATAATGTGAAGGCCATCCACAGGACTTCCAGCAATACGTTAACACTCTTCACCTGGCCAAACCTGAGCCTTAATTCTCTTTGACATTCGCGAGACATCAAAATTGGTTGCCAAAGGGTGATATACACAAAAAAACTCTAAAAGTCAAATAATTGGAATTTCAAAGTTTCTTGAATGATAATGACATTGACTTAGGCTATTTAAGAAAACATTCAACACAGAGAAAATCCATCTTTAATTAGCTTTTTGTACTTTTTAATTAGGAGGGCTTTGATTATTTTTATATATTGCTTTCAATGGGCAAACTTGGAAAAAAAAACTGCAATCCATCAAACAGACCAAAAGTCATTAAACATGGATTATGGACAATCACATTTATCAGATTTACAGTCAACAAGCTTAAGCAGCAAATCAACAAAAACGACATTATATGCTTTGTTATCCTTTAAAAAAACGTCTGCTGCTGCTGTTGGATAACGCCATGGCATGGGGCTATGTTAAATGCTGTTTGCTTTGAGAGAAATTGTAATCTTTCCCTGAGTTTTATGGAACTGCTTTCAAACTTGAAACCTAAAGGCCCTGATCTACTAAATGCAATACTGTGCTCTCTGTGAAGCCTCATTACTGCTGTGGTCCAATGCAATTACTTGGGGATTCAGAATAGAAAACAGAATAGAAACCTTACATTTAGTGTGCATATACTGCCATCATGTGGTTATAGTTTTAAGTAATATAACCAGAGCACATTACCTTTTTTTTTTCCTCTTTATTAGACCTTGACAGAAATTCAGCTTCCAGTGTGGAACTCTATACCGTCGTTGTTTTGCATAAATGATTGACAGTAATGTAGTTTAATTTATACTCTAATTTGGACTTGAACTAATTTGAAGCGCAAACAAGTAAATCATAGTTTGCATGCATTAAAATGTTTTTTTTTTCTTTGTAATAAGATGTTCTTTTTTCATTTAATTTGAATATTATTTAAAAGTTTGTTTATTTCATCAACTTATTTCACTTTGTGAAAGACATTATATAGGCTGATCTCACCGGGACCAATATTTTTAAGATTCTCTGTACAAAAATGTGGGCTTAATAAATATATGTTTAATACCTGCTTAAAAGTTGGTATTTCATAAAGAATTGAATACAGAATAGAGAATAAAGAGTATATGAATTATAATAGAAAATGCATTCTGATGGGGCAAATTTTTCAGATTGAAGATACCTTTTAGAAAATATACAAAGCGTTATCCTTTAGATTAAATGTATCACATGTTTGCAGTGAGTCTAAATCTTTTCACTAACTCTGATCTGCAGTCAGCATTTTCTTACTTATTTCACAAGCCTTTCTAACACAGTAATGTAGAATATTTTGGTTGCTGACTAGTCTATGATTGGCTCACTTATGAGTGTGACCCAGTAAACCACGGTGTTGGATGGTTTAATTTTCAGACAATAGGGTAAACCACCGAGTTGGTTTTGCTGCTCCCTTCACACTCTTCTTCCACCTGCGTGTTTCTAGAAGTTACACGAAGAGGCAGCTGAAGAGACTGAACCAAATTAAGTCTGCAGGTCTAGGTGGTTTCATACCCAGAGTCCTGAAGGGTTGTTCAGAGTAGCTCTGTAGGATACTGCAGCACCAATTTAACCTTAGCCTGGGTCAAATGTCTAACCAGGTAGTCAGCAGCAAAGGAGCACCACAAGGAACTGGACTTATACCATTCTTTCCCACTCCTCACATCCCAGACCTCCAGTACAGTCCTGTATAAAGAGGCCAACTCCTTGAAAAATAAATAATGAACAGTTCTTGGCCAGACATTGGTCTTCCACCCTACCAACATGATGGATTTCTCTTTGCCTCTTCTTCAGTATGTGAACATATTTTTAAAGCATTTTACTTTAACCGGAATTTAATTAGACACATACTTTTGTTAATCACATACAGAATCATCCCTTTTTAAAAGCCAGCATTGGCAAAGCTAATCCTGTCTTCTGCAGAAATACTTGGATGACTCTGCAATATTTGGGTGAGATGGTCACCCAACTAGGATGTAGACAAAAGGAATGAAGGTAAAGTAAGATTGGTGGTGAGAAACAGGGATTATTGAAGGTATGAAGTAGAGATCCAACAAAAACAAACTGCAGACGAGGGGTTTATATTACACTTAGGCGCATACTAACGGTGCGTTCAGACCAGTTGCTTTGGACACAATGATTTTTGCCAACACCACGGGGAGTCCACCACAATGCATTTCAGATCCAGTCCTCACACCCTGGACCGTGTCATCAAATAGGAGGAGCTTCATCTGCATAAAGCTGGTAATTCCTAAAAATGAAGAACAGAAAATACATTAAGTATGACCCCAAAAAAATCACATGTGCTGCTTTTGTTTCACAGAGAGTAAAGATTACATTCTTAGGTCACCCAGAGGTCAATAACCTCCCATTAAGCTTTGAATCGAATTAAAGTTATATAGACTACTTTTTAGTGCTTGTTGTCTTTTGCTAGTAAAACTGTGGTTTGTGCTGATTTGTTTTTTTTTTTTTTTTAGGATAGACTAATTTGTAATTAGGCAGATGATATCATCATCCTAGCAGACTTTAGTGCTGCGCTTGTTTCCTGATATAATGTTATTGCATAACACCGGATGTTGGTTATGTGATGGCATTGAATATAACAGTGGGCATGTTTACCTTATTTGGTGGGTGGAATGATTGTTTAATATTTAGTAAATCAACAGCCCTAAGACCCTTCGCTTTGGACCTGCCGTTAATCCTGGCAATCCCATAGCATTTCCTGTCAAGGTCTCGCTTTCTGCATTTTACAGTAAAAACTCAGGTGAAATTTAACATCTCGGATTGCTGCTAAATTGTTCTCTATGAACAACTTTTGAATCGCTTTGGCAGTACAATCAATTCCTGGAAAAACCTG